TGGAACACCTGTTATATATGTTCAAAATGGTGCCCACTCTATCAGCATGTTATGGAACACTGTTGCAAGTTGATCATGGAGAGAAAAACAATGTCCCTCTTTTTTTCCTCTAGTTTGGCCACAGGGCTCTAAGCCAGGTTCCCTCTAGCCTCTTTTTGCAGCTTTTTTGCTTGTGACTTGGGCTGCTGCAATCTTGTCTCACTTCACTCTCCAGTGCTGGTGCGGAGACTCTCAGCTGCTGAGGACCTGAGTTGCGGGCATCCATGCCTTCCATGTAGGTCTACTGTGTCCTCTAATTTGTATAGTTTCCTTGGCCATTTTTTTTCCTAACTCTTCCCTGAGACTGTACTCTCTCCACTTTTTAAAACTATCTTCTCCTAAACTAGAGCAGTAAGCTCCTTCCCTACTCTGCCTTAGGGCCTATTTCTAATTAATGCCATAAAACTAAATTTATTGGGTTATTGTAAAATGTTTCATTTCTACTTTCCCTTTCAAAGGCTGGGGATGTTCCTTCTTTCTTTCATCTTCATTCCAGTTCAAGTAACATTCAGTTACTTGAATATATTGGATTCAGGTAGAACTAATCTAAATTGTTTATAACTCTCAAGGTATTTGATTCATACCTTTAATATTCTCAATTTTGTCTGGATGCTTGAGGGAATTCAAGGACTCCAAACAACAGTGAACAAATGAAGAGTGATTACAACACAATATGATAGCAAAACAATATCACAGAATGTCTCTAAAAGCATCATAATTGCACACTTCACTTGGTTACCCCTTTGCATAATGCGGAGTCTTTGAGCAGGGTCGTCTCTAACTCTCCCCTGTATCATTTAAAATACTCATGAAGCAAAATTCTTTCTTGTTGCAGCAAATGTGCAGCAAATTATTGATCCCTCTACCTACTCAACCTTCAGACAGAAACTTCTGTAACCACTATGTCAAAATTAGTGTAAAAAAAAACAAAAAGGAGCTCTGTCCATTGAGCTAAATTTGATGTTTGCCTTGAAAATGTGGCAAATAAACATTGTGTCTTAACACTACAAGTGACTTTGTGACCTAATCAACCTGTTGAGACACTGCAAAAGTTTGAAAATCTGAGTGGATATTGAGCTTTCACTGAATGAATATTGAGCTTTTACTGGACAGTCTCTAATATTCTTTTTTGTGGGTTTGATGAGGATACTGGGTAAGATGGAATCTTATAAAGATGTTGAAACTTTGGCAGATTTTTTTTTATTTGAAAAAATCTTGTTGCTTGGTCTTCCTTCTCTATTTTCCTAATATATATCATCACCTTGCTTTCTCATTCATGTCAAGTTTTTCTCTCTTACACCACGGCTGTAGGCTAATAATCATATGTTGTGTTTATTCCTGTATGCTCCCTTTTTAACTCAGTCTAATTTGTCCTCTTTCTGTTGTCATGAACATCTGCCCCCTCACAGACTGTTGAATCCATTTAAAAATAAGATAATCTGCCAGGTGCAAGAAAATATGTGCCACACATACCCTTTGCAATAAGAAATGCTTTTCTCAAATGTTTTTCAACATATGGCTACCAAATAGTCACTTTTTTTTTTTTTTGGTCAGTTCGAGGGACATGTAATCATAAGATTTCAAAATGACCATTTGTTGACATTGTGGCATAGCAGGTTGAACTGCTGTCTTTGACACCAGCATCCCATATCACACTGCCCACTTCAAGTCCCAGCTACTCAGTTTTCAACCCAATTTCCTCCTAATGCACCAGCAAAAGCAGTGGAATATGGCCTTCCTATTTGAGCCCTTGCCACCCTTATGGAAGCCACATGGAGTTCCAGGTTCTTGGCTTCAGTCTGCCACAGCCCCAGCCCTTGGAGCCATTTGGGAAGTGAACTAGCAGATCGAAAATCTCTCTATCTCTCCCTCTATCTGTATGGCATCCTGTCATTCAAACCAAAAAAAAATCTTAAAAAATAAAAAGAAAGAAATGATCATTTCTTATGGTATCCATATTTTTCCTTATCTTGAATTTTTTTCTGTTCAGCATAAAACAACAGTTTTGGTAGGAGATATGAAGCCAACACATATATTTCCCAAAATTGAACATTCACTGCTTAATACTTGGTTTATTAGGTAAGGAATGCAATTTTAGAATGGAGCCAGTTTACAGATTTAACTTGTGTGAACTTCTTTGATTGCAGACAAAGTCAGAAGCAAATGTGAAGTGAAATGTATGATTTATAATGCAGTGTTTCAAATACAGGCATGTGGAATTAACAATGGAAATATTTAACAACCATCTATTTAGGTTAGTTTAAAATTGGCTTTGGATTTGGTTTTATCAATGGAAAAATAAGGTCTAGAAAAATTTCTCAGGGTTAAAACAGGCTTCGATAGGGCAATACAAGAAAAATATACGACATTTCTCTAAGGTGTTTTTGACATGTAGGTGTTTTGTTCCTATGGACATGTCACTTAACTAATTGAAACTGTTCCCATTAGCTAATAGATTCTTTTTTAAGTCATGGCTTAGGATCTGGCATTGTGGTATAGTAGGCCAGCATCCCATACGGGCACCAGTTAAAGTACCACCTGCTCCACTTCTTATCCAGCTCTATGGTAATGTGCTTGGGAAAGCAGTGGAGGATGGTCCAAATGTATGGGCTCCTGAACCCATGTGGGAGACCCAGAAGAATCTTCTGGTTCCTGGCTTCAGCCTAGCAGTGGCCATTTGGGGTGTGAACCAGTAGATGAAAGATTCCCTCTCTCTCTCTCTCTCTCTCTCTATATATATATATATATATATATGTACACATATATATATCTGTCTTTCAAATAAATAAATTTTTAAAAAAATATAATAATAACAAGGCCATGGTTTGGACATAATATTGCATCTTCATTGTATCTGAAGTCATTACATTTTCACAATACTGTGAAATTTTTTAGTCATTTGAATTACTTTACAAATTGTTATACATCCATTAAAAAGAAAAAAGTATGCTTGAAAATGTATATGAATATACCTACTCGAGGTTATGCACATTTAATGTATGCTTTTTTTTCAAAACCTACAAATTTATGAGAAATTCAAGGTTTGTGGCTACACTTCTACAGTTCTAAGCAGTAATCTACATTATTTTTCTTGTCCTTTATGTGATTGATAAATCTGTTTACTAGAAACCAAACCATAGTGCAATCTCATTATTTACTGTTGTTTTGTATTATATAAAGTCACTGGGTACACTGAATTAGCAAGTGCAGGACCATTGCCCCTAAGAAAAATCAAGGTATAGTCAGGTTATATCTCATCAATTGATCAACCAATAACCATGGGTTAGGTGTATTTCTGTTAAATACATCTTAATTTAATATATATTTTTGTAAATTTTTACTTGTTTGTTTATTTGAAAAGCAGACACAGAGAAAGAGATGGACAGGTAGGTTGAACCAATAGGATCTTTCACCTAGTGGTACAGTCTCCAAATTCCCACAACAGCCAGGGGCAGGCCAAGCCAATGTCAAGAACCAAGAGCCAGGAATTCAATCCAAATTTCACACTTGGATGACGGGAACCCAAATACTTCGGCCATCCCCAGCTGCCTCCTTGGATGAACAATAACGAGAGGTTGGAATGAAAAACAGATCTGGGACTTGAAACCAGGCCCTCCAGTGTGGGGTGCAAGCATCCCAAGTGGCATTATCTATTGCACCAAACACCTGCCCTACTATTATGTTTTTTTTTAAGATATGTTTATTTATTTGAAAAGCAGACTGATGGAGAGAGAGGACACGATCAAAAGAGAGAGAACTCTTCTATCAGCTGGTTCACTCCTCAAATGGGCACAATAGCTGGGACTGGAACACGCCAAAGGAAGGAGCCAGGAGCTTCATCCAGGTGTCCCATGTGGGTGTAGGGGCCCAAGCGCTTGAGTCATCTTCCACTGCTTTCCCAGGCACATTAGCAGGGAGCTGGACTGGAAGTGGAGCAGTGGGGACTCCAACTGGCACCCATCACAGGCGGCAGCTTTTCCACTATGCCACAATGCCAACCCCCACTCAAGTATTATTAACTTATTAATTATGTTTGAACAAATCTTATCTAACTCAAGTATTTTCTCCATAAAGGACATGGCAGCCTTCATATCCCAAGCAACAATGGACATTTTTAGCACTATGTTCCAGGGTCATTTTAAAAAGCAAAGCAGACCCACAAAGTGCAAACATCTGAAAAGTATGGTCATTTGCTTACAAGTGTGAGAGCTAAAATAAGCAGGGAGATCATTGCTTGTTATATCTCAGCCAAGAATGTATGTAATGGATGATCCCAAGTTTTCAGCACTCTGTACAAATCTCTGAATGACTTAAAAAGCATTGTGAATATTAATTTTAGGATTACAGAACATTTTAAGGCGCATACACGTTTGATTATATAGAATCCACAAGTAATGGGATTGACTCACTCCATTTGGGAACAAGTACATGGAAATGTGGAGTTGGAAAGTCTTAGTGAAATGTCGCTTCATGTTGTGTGAAGCTTTCCTTTGGTGGGTAGCATTTGATACTTTTGAAGCAGATCTAAAGCCACTGTTTGCTGCCCACTTAATGTCTGTCTGTTCCCCATGACTCTCCCACTTAAAGAGCTACATTGCAAATGTGTTTGTTTACAATTCTTTGTGTGGAACAGCTTAAATGATTATTTTTGAGGCATAATTTAGGACATCTGGGCGTAAATTTGTATAAACAAATTCCTTGTGCTCCCTCTCTTTCCACCCCCACTTCTCCACAGCCAAAGTACTTTATCATTTATAGTAGAGAATTTCAGTTCGATGGTACTGACCTGGTTAACATTTGGATTATCTGTCACACCATGGCCATGGCCATTTAGAATAAAGAAGAAACTGAAATTTTATACTGATAAACTGCTGTCAGTTTATAAAATATCAATTTCTGCTGAAAGATACATGTCTTTAATGTTCTACTATGTCCACAGAGAACTGGGATTAAGAACTTACCCTAAGATGATAGGCAAGTTTCAGTCATCCATGCAGTGCTATAACTACTTCACCCACTTCATCTCCAACATCCATCAGTGAAGGAAGAGGAGTAGCCACATCCAACAGGGACTGAATCTTTCTGAACACCAAGGTAGGGCCTTTTCATTTAAAAGTCTGCTGGAGCCATCACTCTTCATACTTTCTATTAAGACTGCTGCTTTAGCGTTTTCTGAATCGACCTTGAAAGTTCCAGAAATATTCCGTAGCATTATTCCCTGCACTGAACAGGTATTTGGATGTGGATTTTTAATAAACAGGTTAGGAGGCAGGAACCTGGGATTTAAGTCCTGCTCCTGCTAGTTTATGAGGTTGGGTGGGTTGTTTAATGTCCTAAGCTTCATTTTCCTCATTGGTTAAATATGGACAGTAATACTTACATCAAAGGATAAACATGATGATATAATGAGGTCATAAATGCAAAACGGTTTGTCAACAGTCAAGAGCTTTTGGAGTGCGATCCTGTGTATAACATAGGCCAATGTAAATGTGTTATCTACATAGCAATATCATTACTTCTAAAATCATCTTTTAAAATCTGGTAAAACCAGATGCTGCTTTGGAAGTCTATCTATAAATTTTTCTTTTGTTCTGTGTCATAAAAGAAATGCTTGAGGAAAGTTTTTTACTGATAAGGGTCAGGGTACAATAATAGTTCCTTAAGTTGGGAGTTCTTTGTCCTAGAGGAAAGAATCACCCATATAGAACCTTCCATTTCTTAACATTCTGGATCTTGTAACCAGCTTCCAGGTTCTCAGAGCAGAGAGACCTGGGGGCCACACTGATTGTATGAGAGCTGGAGGTTGAGACCTAGTTGAATTTACAGTCACATCCTCAGAATGTGAGTGCAAATCTTTGCTTAATTCAATCCCTCAGACACATAAATGGTCACAAAAATGGGAAAAACTGCCTTGGTTCAATTACAATTGCTTACATAATTAATATCAATCAAAGTGACTACATACTTGCTACTCTTGACCAGTTTTTAGATTAATTGTCTACCTTAATTGAGAAATATTCTTCAGATTTAAGTTTGACAGCATTTGTTTTGGATTTTTTTCCCCTTGGCCTGGATACCTTTACCTCCTGTCCACAAAGAATGCTGACATCTGACATTTGAATTTTTCTTCAAGCCCTACCTCACCTCTGAAATCGAGGGCAGACTCCTACTTCCGTCCCACAAACTCCTTTTAGGCTACTGATAACTCCCACTATATTCACTTCAAGTCCATTACCCACAAACTAACTTTAAAATTTGATCAATAAACACTTGTTTAGGACTTGCTTGTTTTATGAGTGATGCTTAAGTCAATTTAGCTTGTAAGTTTAGAGTGGGCATTGTTTATGCTGAGTTTGATACATTGTGGCTTATTCAATAAGCACTTAACCACAACCGAACAATTGGACCAACTGACACATAAGTTTTATGGATTTAATGAATAACCAGTACTTTAAAGAATCCTTTAAAGGCAAAATAAGTAAAGCACAAAACACTGGAACTGGGACTTCAAATTTGCTGTAATCAACAAACAGTGAAAGAATCAAGGCATTGGTCCACAGAAGACCAACTGCTGAGGGTTGGTGATTTGTAGCCTTCCCCACACCAACCTTTACTTTAGTTACTATGGAAGGAGTGATCCACATTGAGAAATAGTTTTGATAGTTAGTTGGAATGAAGTTAGTCTTGCTTTTGTGTTATTTTATCCAGAGAGATACCTAAAATCCTACCGTTTTTGAGTCTCTTAGATCTTTATGTCCCATGGAGCAGTCACATACCAGCTTCATAAATGTCTAAAGGCAAGGCACCAACTTTGCTTGAAGAGTAGTCTTTTCTGACCCACTGATCACCTGCTAGGAGATTAACCCCTTCAGGGCTGAGTTACCAGGTCTCCTTTATGGAGCTGAGGCTTTACACATGCAGAAACTACAGATTTCACAAGTGTCCTTAATATTCAGCTGAATTTTAAAATCACCTCCTTAATTTGGTGGCTTGCTTTAACTACAATTTGTGAAAGAGGAGAGGTGGTATTATCCTTGTTGAAAACAGCAATGTTTGGGGGCATTGTTGCTCCAAGATTTATTGAAACATGCCTTACTGTTGCCAACTCATTTTAAAGGACTCATATTCTACCTGACCTCAGGACGAATAAGACAAGCAACTGTCTATAAGGACATGAATGAGAACATAGTGATATCTTGGGCTTTCCTTCTTTCTTTTGATAAATCACAAAATTCAACAATGGTGGAGAAAGAACAATATTAACAACCTGAATATCAAAATACAAGCTAGGCCGGCGCCGCGGCTCAACAGGCTAATCCTCCGCCTTGCGGCGCCGGCACACCCGGTTCTAGTCCCGGTTGGGGCGCCGGATTCTGTCCCGGTTGCCCCTCTTCCAAGCCAGCTCTCTGCTGTGGCCAGGGAGTGCAGTGGAGGATGACCCAAGTGCTTGGGCCCTGCACCCCATGGGAGACCAGGAGAAGCACCTGGCTCCTGCCATCGGATCAGCGTGGTGCGCCAGCCACAGCGTGCCGGCCGCGGTGGCCTTTGGAGGGTGAACCAACCGCAAGAGGAAGACCTTTCTCTCCCTCTCTCTCTCTCTCTCTCACTGTCCACTCTGTCAAAAAAAAAAAAAAAAATACAAGCTATTTCCTTCCTCTTCTTTTATGAAGGTATCAAACTTATAATTTTCTTTTTTTAAATTCTGAAAGATATTAACAAGGAATGATTTTTGTGAGGGACATGATAAATTATTTCCAAAAAATTAGCCACAGTTTTGAAAACCCAAGCAGTTTATTTAACATAGCTAAGTCTTGTAACCTAAGTTTAAGTGTCATTACTGGTATAATTTTATTTTTTAAAAGATTTATTTATTTATTTGGAAGTTAGAGTTCCACAGAAAGAGAAGGTGAGAGACATAGAGAAAGAGGTCTTCTATCCACTAGTCTACTCTCCAGTTGGGTGCAGCAGCTAAAACTGCACCGATCGAAAACCAGGAGCCAGGAGCTTCTTCTGGGTCACCCATGTGGGTACAGGGGCCCAAGGACTTGGGCCATCTTCTACTGCTTTCCCAGGCCACAGCAGAGAGCTGGATTGGAAATGGAGCAGCTGGGACTCAAAACAGCGCCCACATGGGATGCTGGCACTGCAGGCGACGGCTTTAACCGCTATGCCCAATTTTAGAAATTATAGATTGGGGACAGGTGAAAGGTGGTGTTACAGATAGAAGAAGAGACAGAGGGAAAGAAAGAGAGAGAGGTCTTCCATCCACTGGTTCACTCTCCAAATGGCTACAAAGGCCAGGGCTGGGCCACACAGAAGCCAGAAGCCAGGAGCTTCTTTTGGGTCTCCCACATGAATGCAGGGGCTCAACCACTTGGGCCATATTCCATAGCTTTCCCAAGCACATTAGTAGGGAGCTGGACTGGAAATTGAGCAGCTGGGACTCGAACCAGTGCCCATATGCTGGCTATCAGTGCCCAGTGCTGGCTACTGGTGGTGGCTTAACCTGCTGTGTCAAAATGCTGGCCCATATTTATTTATTTTACTTATTTATTTTATTTATAAATAAACAGTGTCTTATCTGATGGCTCACTCTCCAACTGCCCACAAAGCCAGGAGACCAGAACTCAATCAGGGTCTCCCAAATGGGCATCAAGAACCCAATTAATTGGTGCATCGCTTGCTTCCTTCAGGTTGCATGTGAGCAAGCAGCTGGAACTGGGTGTTGAGCTGAGACTTGAACCCAGGCAGTCTAATATTGGATGTAGGCATCTCTGTAGGCAAACACCAATGCTGGCCAAATTTGGAGATATTTGGTGGAGGGAAAAAGGAAAGAAAAGGGAAAAGAGTTTTGATATTCTTAGAGTGATTTGTAGAGGACCAGGGATGCACTCACCAAGGAGGCCACAGAACTTATTTTCACCCTAAAGGATTTTCTAGTCTTCTATTGGAAAAATGTAGTAACAACTAACAGAACACATTTAGTTTATAACTCTAAAGATGCTTTCATTTGTCAGACAGAGGACAAAAAAAGATTATGGACTCATAATAAGGATCTGTGGAGACCCAAATGCGATCCTTGAATTCCAAGATATCTTTCTGTCTCTTTTGACATCTAAAGCAGTATCAGTGGATGCTAAACTCCTAATCTCTCCACTCTTAACCCCCTCCTCCCATCCCTCTTGAACATCTCAGAACTGGAAAGATGCCACTGAAAATCCAGCCATTTTTCTCAAGCAGTCAGCAGTATTTTTAGAGCTCTTTACACATCTGAGATGGCTCTTACACACTCTATACTCCTCTGTATCCTATGTGTGGTCTTCCAACTGTCCTGTTTTCATGAACACCCTTTGTGTTGCATTTAGAGTCCAATCTGGAAGGCCAGTGTGACCATGTCACTACTTTGAGCAATCTTCAGAACATCCACAGAAAATTCACACTGTCTCTTAATTCAATTTTTCCCTCAAACTTTTGATGTGTCGTTGTCTAAAATCACTGGATAACCAAGTATTGCAAAAGGATCAAGTCCAATGTGCTTGGCATGATAGTAAAGTTATTTTTCAGCTGGCTTCGCTTTAGTTTCAGCCTCTTCTCCCCTCCCTATCTGCACCCACGAAGGTTCTAGCCTCACTTAATGATTAGTGGTTCCCCAAACTTGCCAATGCACTTGGATGCATCTGCTTCTGTATTACTTCGACTCATCCTTCGGGGCACAGCTCAGCTGTCATTTCTCTTGACCACTGCTCTGCTCAGGAGGTGTCAGCTGTTTCCTCCTCTGTCCTTTATTGTAAAATTTAGAATGTGTTGGAATATATCATGCTCTCTAGACTGTGTGCTCCTTGAGAGCAGAGGCCATAAAGAACATTCATTTTTGACTATCCATCATCTAGCAAAGCTCAATAAATTTCAAGTGAGTGACTGAATGCATATCTTGCTATTTTTCTTATGTTGAATATGAGTTTCTCAGCAACAGACTCTATTTTATTTATTTTCACGCTCAAAGCAAAGCATCCAAGAGAAATAACATTTGTTAAATATTTGTTGAATGAATAAATAAAATATTGTCTGACTACCTGATGTTGACCAATTGGCTAAACTTACAAGGCGATACCTGGCTATAATATTGCCCCTTGAGGCAGCAAGATTGTTAATTTTATTTTAGTATACTAGCACATTTTGTTTGTAGTATTCTTTTTCTTAGCCTATCAATATAAAACACAAATTTGCTAAATAATGTATTTTTAGCTAAAATTGACTGAGGACTTAAAACATTGTGGTATGGACTTTATATATCATTTAGTGATAACATTAGCCCTGTATGTATTAAGTTTTTTTTATTGCTCACATTTTTTGGATACAGAAATGGAAGGTTAGGAATATCATCCTGCCCAAAGTTATGCAAAAAATAGGAAATAACATTGGAATCTGAGGCCAAGTTTGTCACTTTGTAAGATGTAGATTCTTTCCCATAAGCTTATTATATGTTCCCTCTATACCCCTCCTCCCACATTTGCTATAAGAGATTATGAAGTTGAAGTCCTACATAGGACATCTCTTTTAACTACTGACATCCTCTTGCTATAATTTTATTCAA